GCATACACAGCTTTATCTTTTCATCTTTAACATTATCATTATGATGTATGGAAGAAGACTGATTGAGCGATTGAGACCATAAAGTCATTAGGAAACTGTTTACTGAGCTCATAAATTAAGTAAGCAGTCTGCTCATTTCTCCATTACAGTGAATAGTATTGTTTTTTATTGCAGCCAGTGGAGATCCCCCCTGGCTTCACTTTACAGACCCAGAAGCTCTGTCCATTATATATACTGTCAATGCTACCAACACATCTAAAGTTTCAATTACGAATGAGAAAACATTGTAATTTTACCAGGATATAGTCCTGTAAGTATTCCTTTAAGTGTAATATTCCTTTAGTTGATGTCAGTCAGGGAAGAAGCACTCAGCTATTTTCCTTTAAGGTCCAATGTGTATGATTTAGTGGCATCTTGCAGTGTAGAAACATGGTGGTTCAACATGGTGGTCTCTGCAGGAGAGGACCCGCTGCCTCCGTAGATAAAAACAGCTCATTCTAGGTAATGAAAACACAACTATTCTTATTTTCAGGTAATTAAAGATATATATGATAAATATATAATGAAAACCTGCCTATGATATATTATATTCCATGTCTGTCAATAGATTATCCTAAATGTTACACACTGGAGTAAAAGTAAAAGTAAAAGTAAAACTAAAACAGTAAAAATAAAACAGTAACTCAAACTCAATCCTACATTCATATTGCTATGGTAAAAGTATTGTCAGAAACATGTACTAGTAAAAGTACTTTGTCACTGTTATATTTTTATAACCGAATTGTTACTTCTGAAGCATTAAAGTACAGTCTAAGAAGAATTTTATTTTGTTATAGCTGGTGGTTTTATAGTTTAATAATAATGCACCATATTTTATTAAGTGGTCATACGTTAAGACAAAAAAACATTAAAGCTCCTGCACACCCATGGTCCATCCAGTTTTCAATGATGTTGGCTGTTAGACCTCTTCTGAGGACTGTGTGGGTATATAGAGACTGTGGTTGATTGACAGCTCCGTCAGGCTTCTGTTGGTTTTGTTGCACCTGCGTTCAGTCTTATCAGTAACATAAATGTGAGTTTAAGAGCATGAGAGGAAAAACACCTGTGTGGGTGTTCAGCTTTAGCTGCCAGATAAATGTAATGGAGTGAATGTACAATATTCCCTTTTCAAATGTAATGAAGTAGAAATATAAAGTTACATAACATGGAAATAACATACAAGCACCTCAAAATTGCACCTCAGTAGTTGTAGTTTACATTTGATCACTTTTGCATATGTACATATATTGTTTTTTTAACCAACCTACAAGAGCTCTTCCGTGGACTGTATGACTTCTTACTCAATAGAAGAAAGCTTTAGCACATGCAGGCCAAAAAGCATTCATTACTTTATTGCTCCAGATTTTCTTGTTTTCATTATTATCCAGGGAAAACCTTGTATTTTCCAGTTTCCATTTTTGTTCAGACATGTTTTCATGTTCCAGTTTCTGTGATATGTAGGAAATGTATCCAAACTCTTATCCTCATAGCTCAAAACCCACCCACAAAATGCATTTTGGGGATACAAGATGTTTACCTGATACTGCACCTTATGACTCATAGTGCTGTTATTTATAACGGCAGACTTAATGGACAAATGTAAAGTGTGGGTTTCCTCTTTGTGGAACACTGGGTGTTACAATACACTACATGATAGCTATAGGTCACAGTTGTGTGGAGTCTTTCCCCTTAAGAAGAATTTGTGATGAACTTGTGGACATTTCTATCCCAGCAACACAACAACACACAGACGATGACCCACACATCTCCTCCAGCTGAAGCTGCATTGTCAGCTTGCTCCAATCATGCAGTTCAACTAAAACATGTGTTTCCCCTTTGCACCTTCAGGATGATGTCACATCCACAGAGTCATGTGCTCCCCTAGTGCAACTTAATTTAAAACATCTTCATTTCCTGACTCAGGTCAGTGTGCTCTGGATTGAGTCTTAAAAGTTTGTCTTGCATCAGGGGAGACAACATGGAGAGAAAGTATGCACCAAACAGAGGCACAAAGTGAGAAACTCCCCTTGGATAATGGGTAAGTGGGACATTATAATCGCTCCCTTGGGTGAATAAACCCTTTTTCAGGAGAGGTAATAGCACAGATATGAGGCCAGGGTGAGTTTGATTTGTGTTGTGGCAAGAAATTGTGAAATCTCTGTCATTACTGTGTCTCAGTCCTGTCATCACCCTCCTTTCATACACACGTGTGCACAGAACCTCAGCCCACACACATACTCGCCAAATTAAAGCCCAAATTAAATGTCTCAGAAATCTCACACTATTATCCCTGAGATAAAATTCTACCTCTCACATCTAGACATGGTAGTAACTGTATCAACTGTACAGCTGCAACAACTTGCTTTTCTGTTAAACACATCAGCAAATAAATATAATAGTTCTTTATTAATACTGATGTTTTTTAATATAATAAGTAGATGATGGTTGCAGCAAGATAGAAACTGGTCACAGTGGAGCCATCTTTACTGTCTTATATGCATCAGTCCTAACAATCAATAACCATAACCAATAACCATAACCAGCCTAATAACTTCTGAAAAACACTCATGGCTGCTTGAAAAACATACATCACACAAAAGGAACCACCTGCCCGACAACACAAAACACTTGAACATTGTGCCAAAACAAGCAATGCCAGTGATCATGACAGATTACCAGGATGTTAGATTCAAAATTTCCCTATCGGAATAGGCCTCAAACTAGCAAGCGAGAAATAATTTCCAGTAAGTTTACTGCTAAATTGTGTCCAAAATATCAATGACATTTCAGTGTCCGCCAAACATTTGTATCTGTTGAAGCACCATACTGTTATTTTATATAGTGGAAGAAAGGATAATCATGTTCCGGGATAACTGAAGACAATGGATAACAGGTAATAGATAAGAGTCAAGCACTGAAAGTTTCCATGAACTGTCTCAGTGGAGGCATGGTAAATAGGAAAAGCCCATTACTGCCATTAAGGTCATTTGTAGAAATTACTGCACAGAACTGCGGGAAGAGATCATGACCCTGAATACACACTTTGCATCATCAATCACTATCAGCAACTACCAAATCCATTATCTACCACTTACACAAGATGACTCTATCGTCTTTACTTGAGCAGTTGCTCTATTGCAAAGACTCAGAAAAAAGAGACAGTGGCTGCAACTTGTAACAGTAAACAAGCTTCTGTGCAAACAGACTTCAGGCTGCTCCAAAACCCTCAGGTTCACCACGTCGCTTGTTTTTTAAAATCTGATTAAAGGGCTATTCTCTGATGTGGTATTGCACTGTAAAGGGAATATTGGTGAAAATTGATGCAGCAAACACGGAGATATTCTGAAAAAGCTGAATCCTACTATTCCCATAATGCAATTGGATAACATTTGTTAGACCCTTCCTGCCTGGTTAATTGCCAGTTCCTTTCAAACTCCTGCCCAGAGTTTGTAACACAGGCTTTTTGTTTAGAAATTCTAGTCCCCAAGCTGAGATAAAGTCTGAGAAAATAACCCTGATGATGTCATTAGGGTTATTTTCTCAGATATTAGAAAGGTCCTTCAGAGGCTACTCCACATGACAAGTAAACTGAACTTTGTATGTAAAATTGCCCCTTTAATTGCATTATTGATAGGAAAGTTTCACCAGCGCATCAGTTAAGAAGGGTCCTGCATTATTAGCCACTGTTGTACTTGTCTTGTGGAAAGACACTATGTCACAGTGTGGGTTTTTATATTTGTACTGTGCTCACATCATGCATATTCCCAATAAAGTTGTTACCACAAAATAACAAAAAGTAAGTATTATTCCAGCATAGGAGAACTGGTTGCACTGGACTTAATGGTAACTTGGAGGCAACAGGGTACACACACAGTACATAGAGTGCAGTAAATGGGGAGGGGCCCAACAGCAAATCTTAACCCTGGGGTCTCTTAACAGGTTAATCTGGCCATGTTTGTAAGGGAATATGACACAAAGTCATAGAATTTCATATAAGAAACATTAACAGGCCTACATTATTTTATACTGGCTCCAGTAATCTGACTGGTGCCAGTAAACTGACACTGTGACCATCACCAGTAACCATGTATTTAATAGATTTATGCAAAGATAAGGGAGTGTGTATATATAATCTTCAATAATGCCACATTTCTAATGCAGCCTTTCAACAGCTGACTTCAAAATTTAGTTTGAGTTTAAGGTGGAGAAGGATTGAATGGGTGTGATGCACAAAATAAACTTTTTGTTCTCAGTTTGCACAGTGGATGTAAATATTGGCCTAACTGCAGCTAGCAAGGCTTGTGAAGATCCGAGGTCTGTTAATAACCTACATGAGCTGTGCCTTTTCCACCATCTCCGTCTTTTGACAGACTTAACCATTCTAGCTATGCCTGTAAAGATTTTTGATTTTGCTTAAATTACATGGATATTGTATCAGTCAAGCAAACAGTGCAGGGTTTCCAATGGTAACATGGGTGGGAGAACAGGCCAGCCTTTGTTAAAAAGCTTTAGTATCACTGAGGAGAGAGAAGCCATTGTGCTTTAGAAAAGCCTCCTTATGGTTCATGTCCTCAGATTGAAATGGATCCCCAGCCTCAGTTTAACAAATGCAACTCACTCCAGACGACAGTATATGCATTTAATTGGGCCTGGTTACTGGAAACAAGCCTCCTTGTTGTCATCAGCTTATCGGGTAAAGGACAAACAGCCTCCGACCCATCACATGCGTCCAGAGCAAGATAGGACAAAAGTCAAAGCTAGTCCCAGGTTCAATGAAAACCTGCTGTTTACGATGGCCATGTGAGAATATACAACTTGACTGTGTGAATGGAGTTGCTCAGATAATGAGCAGTTTAAACTAAGTGCAGCTCTTATAACCGAAGATTAAAATGTCAACAATCATTATAGGCCAAGGTTAAAATAAAATAACCACGATACAAAAAAACTGTATTTTTTTTTCCTTTTTTTAATTTCACAAAAATGAATGCTTCTGTTCCTGAAAAGAGAGACGGAGTAATCTAGAAGACACTGAATGCACAGTTCTCACTTTACAGATGTTTTTAGAACATTTCATGGTTCATTTTAGGCACTTGGAATCATAACAACATTCCCTTTCTGAACAACAAATACATCTTTGGTCCGGTATGTAATTTTAAAAAAATTACAAAAATTATGAAAATAACACCAGCTTCAAAGTTTGTTTCTTCAAAAATGTATTTTTGACATATATAAAGCTTCATATAGACTTTTTTTTTTTTTTAATACTTAAACAAGATATTATCGCTACATCTCAGAAATGACCAGCAATCTTACAGATGTTTTGCAAGACAAAACACATGAGAAAAATTAACATGTCGGCTCAATCAGATGTACAGCAGTACAGGATTGTTTAAGTCAAGTCACATTTGGCAAACATACGTTTCTTTTTTTTGTATTTTCAGTCCACTTCCTTTGAAAGATACAGAGCGATGGAGACGCGTCCACCTCTGCCCCTCTTAACAGCCACTTCAGCTACAGGGCAGCCACGTCTGATATGAATTACTGCACGGTGAAACCTGCGGCGGCTGCACGTGTGCAATGTAGTAATTACTGAAGTTGATGTCCTGCACGTACGGAGCTGGCTGGTAGTAACACGTGACATTTGTTACAGTGGGGATGGCGTTCTGCTCAGCCAGCACCTTCAGCGCCAGCATGGAGATGAGGCTGAGCGTCTGGCGCCGCTCGTGGCCCATCAGACACACGGTGCTCTCGTTCACTACTTGGTGCAGAGTCATCAGGCACTCGTACCGTTTGTGCTCCATCCCAGCAAAGTGATTTTGCAGGTAGGCCTCCAGTTTCCTCTGCTGCTCTCCTATGTCAGAGAAGTCAATGAAGAAGCGTGAGCACATGTAGCGCTGCATCTGCTTCATGTCTGCCTCCGAAGAGGGCCTGAACCCTCGAACCCGGAGGTGGCAGTACTTCAATAAGCCGCCTCCTCTGATTTCTTCCGGGCTGCGGGTAGCTATGGTCCTTTGACACAGGTGGTCAATGGCCTCCTTGAAGTCCCCGTACACGCTCTCCCCGATCACAGTGGGGTGAAAGCTCTCAGACATGGGCGTCTCTGAGCAGCGGTCAAATAAGAGAAGAGAATCGAGGCAAATCTGGAAGGAGTCCACGCTGAATTCAAACTGCCGCCGTAAAGAGTCCACAAATTTTAGCTCCACATTCTTGCCCGTGTTGTTGGACAGCGAGATGAGGCTCCAGCGGTCCGTGTCATTACAGACTTTCACTAGTTTCTGTACATAGGCCTCTTTGAGGGTCAGTGCCGAGATGCGCTCCTTAGAGACCCCGGCTGGCAAGAAGTCAAACAGGCAGTCCAGCACGACGTCCTTCACCAGGCGGAAGGCCTGATCATCTTTCAGTGACACACCAAAGATCAGGTCCAGGTCCTTATAGCCCAGTCCAGTGTCCTGGTGGAGGACATGGCTGGCAGCCGAGCCATTCAGCCTCACGTCCTTAACACACACGCCTCTTTCCTCCAGCCTCGCACGCACCACCTGGACAGGAATGAGACAGAGACACAGCCTGTTGATATAAATGGATTTAAACTTTACTGTTCTCTTTTGAGAGTCAAAATATGCAACCAAGTTCTAGTTGCAGAAATTATGAAAGGTGCACATATATCTAAAAAAGACTAAAGTTAAACTCTTGAAATATGTCCAAATAAGCTCCACATGAGCCTAGTGGAAATCAATAGTTTGTGAAAGCAAGATCAATACTGTTGCTCACAAAAGTCCATTTCATCACCATCAGCCTCAGTCTGAATGAAACCTAAAGAGCCCAAACAAAAAGCAGCAGAGCCGGTGAGCCTGTGCTCCAGGTCCATCTCCCTCTGGGTCAGAGTGTCTTATCTTATCACACTGATAACGTTTATAATCCTGAACTGCAACCAAAAGAGAATGAACACCTGTGTGTGCTGTCCAACAAAAAAAAAAAAGAAATGTTTTCATAACCTCAGGTCATTGGAGTCAACAGTGTTTCCTTCCTCTGTACAAGTGACCCGCAAGATGTTTAAATGAACGTGTCTTGCCTCAGTGCGGCCACACTGGGAGGGAATGAAGTACAGCTGGACAGGGTATGCCAACATCACTATTAGCATTTCCCCTGAAGGGATATGACAATCCACCCTAAAACATTCTGTTCTCAAAACATTCAGAGGCAAAGTGTTCAGTGGAAACTCAGATCTAAATGATATGACACATCAACAACTATCTGCCGCTTCCTTGTTATATCTTTATATATAACTATAACTATTTGAGAACATTGTCATATTCAATGAGTGTGTACACAGCAATAACACTTCATGCTAAAACTGGTAAGTGTAGCAGACCGTGACACGCAAAATAAGACAACCCTTTCCACTGAATATTAACTCTGTATTATTCAAACAATAAAAACTGCAGCTCAAATTAGTTCTTACACACTCGCTCACAATCCTAAATCTCCCCACTGGCACTGACCTGTCAGATTAGTGCCTGTTAACTCTCTCTCCCATGGTGATCAGATAACAAGCTGGCTCTATTTATACACACTGGGTCAGGCTACAGACAAACAAACATTTGAAGGCAAGTGAACCCCTCACGTAGGAGTGCTGAAAATCATAATAGCATAACTTGGCAGTAATGGCGTTATAATCAAACCATAAAGTGGTGCTGATTGGGTTCAAATTTCAATCAGAAGCAATACTATTGTGGTTTTTGTGTGCTTCTGTGGTCGTCCAATATGCCGGCGCAGTCAAAGCTAAATTCAGGGTCAGGCCTACACTTAACACCTCTCCTCCCATACATACTTTAATACAGCTGAGTGGATAAGCCCCCACTGCCCCTGGAAGCACAGATATACCTCTGCTGACTTAACAAAGCCTGCCAGAAACACAACTCCTGTTTAATCAAGTCTATCTCACTTACTGAGAAAGAAGAAATCAATAAAAGTAAGTGGAAAAAAGTGACAGGGGTTGTGCCGTATAGAGTGGCTAATTGATAGGCCACATGTCTGAGTTGTGGAGCTGCTAAGAACAGAGGGTGTTGTTATCTTAGATCTACAGTTACAGCTCTGTCACTCCTTGGACTCTAGAGATTCATAATGCTGCAGAAGCTGCAGGACAAAGGTCCACAATCTCAGCCGTGCATGACAGAAGAGGCAGAACTACATCATCAAAACCGATCAAATATACATTTAGGCTAAATAGCGTCGTTCCAGGTTGTCCTGAGAGGCGATTTACTATTGACCGATGTTCAGCCAACCGCTAAATGAATTTATGTGACAGATATATGGGGTTTCCACAAATCCAGGGGAAAGAGTCCCTACATTTGGGGCTCAAACCTGCATTTAAGCCTCCTGCACACTCAATGGAGCATTCATCTTTCCACAACCACAAGCATGAAGCTCTGGGATTCACAGGCTTGTTGGGATCATCTTGAATATGTCAAAGTGTAAATTAATAGGGGGGAGGGTTATACAACATGTTAACTGACTCAACTTTGACGTTAGGAATCAGCTAAATGTTAATTTTGAAATTCTATCATGGCACTTTGATACATCGCCAGCTACCTAGAGACACCACAGGAGAAGTGAAATGTGATGCAGCCCAATGCATAAAAGGCTGGAAATGTGGAGGACTTTGGAATGTGTCTGTTACATACATTTTAAGTCAAACCAAGGGGGGTTGTAATGACAGTATATTCCTCACAATGTTTCTGTTGTTTGAATGTGAAAATGATAGCCACTCATTCAAATCAGAATTGATTAAACACTGGCTGGAAAAATAAAAACGTTCATTTAGTGTCACCAAGAGGCAAGATACATAGATGAATCATAGTTTCCCCTGCAGATACTTTTTGAGAGAATAATCTCAGAAAGCATAAACAGCCGCTCTGGGAAGAAATTAGATTCAGAATGTAAACTAGCCTTAAAAAAAGAAAACCCACAAAGCTAAATTCTCATTTATGTATCAAGGAAATACAATCAAGGAAGGAAGCATCCAAAGAACGTACAAAGGTTATATCCTGGGTCGGTCAGTGACTCTCAAATTGGGACTTGGAGACCAAATGAAGTGCAGTGTAATCTGAATATTTAATGCAGGTGTTTTCACACTACCAGAACATGTAAGAGTGACTATTTGATCCACGTGTTTAACTACAGTCACTACCCACCTGTAGTGTAATACTCAATTTCATATGTATACATGAGCTATATAAACTGTACTTCTAACTAAATCTAAAAAAAAAAAAAAAAAGAGATCCCCAATGTTCAAACTTAAAAATGTAAAAACTTCAAATCTAAATCTACACACAAAGTGTAAGTATGTAAATGTGTGGGTTAGTACCTGCACAATCTGGCGGGGTTGCACAGACAGAGTGGGGAAGTTTCCTCGGCCGTGGATGGGGACAGCCTCCCCCAGGATGGAGTCCAAGCGCTGCACCTGATCCCAAGACAACACACAGAACCGCCGACTCTGATCCGACGCATCACCGCAAGACATGACGATGTTACCGTTCAGTCCCCCCCTTCCCAAAAAAGCAAAAACAAAAACAAAAAAGCGAAATTAGCAATCAAGGCTTTCCTCTCAGCTGAGCTCTGTGACTTCTCTCTTCAACACATGTAAGATATTCCCGCAGATGTGAGCAGCTGTGAGCGGATCCGGGTCTTAGTGTTGAGGTGAAGAGTGTAAGAAAAGTTAGTTGAGTCAGAGGTTTGGCGGTGACAGTAGGATCGACAGTTTCCTCCGGTGTGCGCCGCTAAAATCCCGTCAGTCTGCAAAGAACCGATTCATAAGAGGGTTTAAAGCCTCCTCATTAACATGCGCCCTCTGATTGGCTGCTGTGTTTGGTCATTGATTATGGACGCCCCGTCTGCAGGGAACACCCTTCGCAAATGTGACGCATTTGACAGCCTCCTCCCCATCTGCTCGACTCATGCTGCACCCTGCATGCTGCTGACAGGGTTTTCCCTCAAACAGGCCTCATGATCTAATGATCTTATGATCTGCAACGCCTCAGCTGCAGCTTTAGTAGAAGATGAGCATTTAATAATGTGGTATTTAGTTGTTTATCTACACAGGATACACCACCACGGGTAGTGATTTATAATCTGAATTGCAATTCAGTAATCAGAATCAGAATCAGAATCAGAAATACTTTAATAATCCCAGGGGAAATTACTTTAGTTACATACTCCAGATGATAACAAAAATGATTGATTATAGAGAGCATAGTTATAGCTGTGTAAACACAGCCTCTGCGTTTCAATCTGATGTATTTTTTTATTTGTCCAGGAAATGTTTGCAGAACATGCAGGATGTTTTTTTTCCAGCAACGCCCTGTTTCATTGTTGTACACTTCTCGATCATACGGACCTATAGCAGCCCAGAGACAACCATAAGCATGGGAAAGAAGGAGACATTAGAGGCCTTGCTAGAGGGCAGATTATCCAGAAAAGTAATTAACCGTCACAAGTTAGTAATCGTAGGCCAGTGTTTTCCAACCATCTTGGCTTGTGACCTCTTAAAACAAAGCACTGTCTACTTGCCACTGTTTTTCTCTTTCATTTGAGTCATTTCAACAGGTCATATTAACCAGTAACAAGACGGATACTGGGGCAGGATCAGCGAAAAGAAAATAATTTACCGAAGACTAAAATAAAAAAAGTGACAGTGATAGAGCACAGGTGAAAATAGGAGCCATTTACCAGATAGAGAGGATTGTGGGATTTGAAAGGATTCAAAACACAATCCTGAATTGGCCCTCTTCCTCCTACAAGTAATATGACTATGTCTGCTTGTTTGCACCATAACATATAATGCAAATGGTTGTGTGTCTGTTCAACCAACCAAACCATCTGTATCTATATCTGTACTTGGACTAAGCGTGGCTGGAATGATTCAATTTAACACTCATATTATTATTAATATTATTAATTTACATTTCAAAATTACAAGAAAAAGGAAAAAGTTGGTAAGGCAGCTAGAATAGCACAACTAGCCTGAGTGCAGTCGCTACAGTTTAGTTTCTACCTTTAGTTTCTAGTTCTTGCAAATTTTACATGCTGTCTTTCTTTATCAAGAATTACACCTACACATGTAAAAGAAAATTGGTTAAATTGAAATAAGGGTCACTTTCTTGTCTTACCGCAATTTTGACAAAATATGTAAGGCTACTGCATTCTGGCTTTATATAGCATTTATATACTCATTTGCCTTTAATCTTCCAAATTGATATCACAGTGTTTGAAAAACGTATGTATTAACCCAACAAAAGTAATGTAAAATATACAAGATAATTCAAATGCACTTAATTTTTGCAGAAATCCACAAGCTCCTTGTCAACCCCAGGGTATTTAAACTATGATAGCTGGCTATTAAACCTGTTATATGTTGCTTGCTAATCACACATTTTTATAGGTCCTTATCATTTTTAGTATGGCTATGTTTGAAGTGGAGGGCCTTACCTTTGAGTTGTTTGTTTATTCAACCAATGGAAAATTAAAGGCTACTACCACACGAATAATCATTCATTTAATTTGCTCATGATTGTGAAGGAGCTTATGAAAAGGCTCCGATAACCCGTAATGCCCTTTAAGCTTTCCATTTACGTTCTCTGGAACCCCGCTGCCGCTTCTTTCCACTCTGCCTCCTTATTTGTGGTGCAAATGTTTTTTGTTCTCATTTGTTTTGGCACAGATGCAGAGACATTTCTGTGATCTGACCAGAATATTTGTAAGCTTTTTATTGCTAATACTGTATGTAATGATCAATCTAAGGCATAAATAATAACTACAGTGAATGGTTTCTGAGTTAAATAATGTACTCATGTTATATTGGTTTAGCTGCTGGTAGATGCATTCAGTGTCCTCCAGTTTGTTTGCCCCATCTGAATTTACCAAAATCTGTCTGTTTCAGTTCTTACAGGAGTGGACTGTGGTCACACCATCACTGTCTTTATAACTAATCCTGTCCTGCATGCAGTCTATTATGTGTTTAAATGCACTAAATATCCCCTAGTGAAGGACCTCACACAATGGCAGACATTACTCACAATAGCAGACATTACTCTTTCAGTGGTGAGAAGACCTAAGGATTCTGTCAGTATGTAATTTGCCTGTGAACAATACAGGTGAAAACTTCAGAAATTTCCTCTTTTAAAATGACCCAAATATGTCATCATTTATAAAAAATCCCTAACCGCTCATACCTGTTCACACAGCGTGTAAGTGCACCTGTAAAATATTTACAAGAGATTAAAGTTCATTTCATGATTGACCTGTGTTGGTTTTTAGTGATGCAGCAATAAAACATAGACAACACACACTCTTACGCACTCAGGCACGCACATCATGTCTTCTCTGAACATATGCATCTGTGTATTCAGTTCACACGCTTCTCCACTGTTGTCTACAACACACAGCTGGGCTGAGGCTGACAGTGCCGCAAGCCTCCGAGGGGTCGAGTCGTGGGCGTACCGTGGATTTAGTCTCCACGGAAGATCACTTCAAATCCTGTGATGTCAACATAATACAGTTTCCCTGGCAACAGCATCCGTGGTTGTCGGGCAGCTGGGCAGAGGCGTCTCCAGCTGAGGGTCCTGCCAGGTGCCGATGTGAGACATCTGCGTCATCCAACTATAAATAACCCGCCATGTGGCAGCTGTGCATCCTGGGAGCAGAGTCAGTCTTTACCTGAATGTGAAACACTTGGGGAAAGGAAGAACAATGACGGTCAGGCCACTTGACATTCTAAGGTTCCCTCACAGCTGCATGTCAAAGGGAGTTAGTTGGATATGAAGTCAAGACATTTATGCAGCGGTACAAAACAATTAGCACAAGAACTCCTGAGATATATTCACTGCTTTGTGTACAATTCTGTGTTTCACCTTTGGTTAATTTATGCAAGTGTCATTGGATCCTCTGTTTACCCCTCAGTTGACATCCTGCTGCAACCATGACAACTGAGACTGTGAGTCTAGTAGGTGCGGTGAGATAGCCAGTATTTAAACACACCTTAAACAAATGATGCATTAGACAAGCATATGTTCCAGTCCTGACCATGATCAAACATTATGAAACAGTCTCATTGTCTCAAGCATATTATATGGCCCTCCCCCTTTGCAAGTTGCATATGCATAATATGAGTATTGATTACTGTATTCATATACTATGCTATGATATTATACATGATTTCACTAGACTTAAATAAAAGCCTGCTGGATACATGTGGGTTTTTTTTCTGTGTTTGTTCTCAAAGACAGATAAAAGACATCAGACAGTTTTTTTTGTCAAATATCTCTATCTGTCTTTGCCTGATGGGCAGTGACAGGAAGAGAAACAAAGCAGGGCTTCTCTCAAGTGCAGGGACATGATTGGACGTCACAGCGTGTTGTAAATGCGCACCTGAAAATCGATGTCGCCAAACAACAAGCAGTGAAGTGTCACAATGATCAATTGTGTGAAGGCAGATAACACTCCGTCTGTCGCACAGGATGAGTTGTGAAGCCCTTTTCGTACCAGTCTGTCAGGGCTCCTACAATCTAAGTGAATTATTTCCCCCAAAAAGACTTCATCTCATCTGTCACTGAGCACATTCAGACCTGTTATACTGGAAGACCAAGTGTTTGCTATTATTAGAGGGCGTATCACATGTATTGCCATAGCTAAAATAGCAATGCAGCTGCTGCTATTACATTGCATGTCTGACATTACACTGCATGTTGAATTTTTCTATTTCTACTTTGATTTTGTGAATGAATAAACAGTTTGTTTGTGTCCGAGTTTTGGGCTCAGTCTGCCATGGCAGCAGATTACCGGTCTGTACAACCAGGTTGAGCTGACCAGTCAGGCTGGACACTGCGGCATACCCGTGATAGAGTGCATGATAAGAGAGGTAAATTTACTTTTCCAGATTTCTCCAGATGACAAATCTATGGGACAGTGGAACGAAGGTTACGCAAGCAGCCGTGCTTCTGACGTCAGACTCCGTCCGCTGCCTGCTTGATTGATTACAGTAGTGCTTGGCAGAGCAGACTAGTGTGCTGCTGGAAAAAATAAACACACCAAAACACACTATAGCTTCAGGTGGCTACATGCATCAGCTCTCCGCTCTATCCACAGCTGGACAGTGAAATGGAAAAATACTATAAAAATTGTGAAGAGGCAAACGCATAGTATTTGCTGTTGATCTGTTGTGATCGTTGTTACTAGACTGGAATCATGTTGCCTTGTTGTTATCCAAACCCGATTTTAGGTGTGTAGAGATTATAATCTTTTGCAAAGATTAAAGGGGACCTGTTATGCTCCTTTCCAGCTCTATATAAACTCTATGTATCTTTATTCTGGGATTCCACTAGAGTAGCATTGCATAATTCACAGTTTAAAAAAATGTCTATTTACCTTATACTGGTCCTTTATAAAGCCCCTCAGTTCATCCTCTGTCTGACAGAAGGCTCTGCCTCAACTCTCTGTGATTTATGGAGTTCCCTGAAGAACAGATAGCTTTACATGTTGCTAAAGTAGCTAAGGTTTGCAAGTTAGCTTAGTTAGCTGTGCAACTAGCAGTACTGTTGTCTTAGCTGACTTTGCCTGGACTGGGAGCTCAGAGCTCTGGGACAGTGTTGGTGTACCACAGCAAATAGTTTTATGTTAAATGAGGAGTTCTGTTTTCTCATCTTTTCATTGTTTTTACAATAATATATAACCGGTGGCATTATTTCTACCTACCATTTTTTACAGGCTCTGCCTTTCTATAGTTACATTCTATAGCCAGGGTAGTATATCTTT